TGCAGAATACAGTTGGGGGGAGTTGAAGGATGGTCGGGGAGCAGAAGAATGTGTTGAGGAGTAGAGAGTGGATTTGACGAGGCATTGCCCAGTTGGTTCTCCTGGATCGGTTATACTTCAGCTTCCTGATAAAGCCAGGCAAGCTGCTTGTTAGCCGCAGGTCTGTTTCGCGTGCTGTAATGAGTGCTGTGCATTGTGGTTGGCAGTCTTGTGATTTGGAACCTCCTCAGTGTGAATAAACAGTTCTCACACCCTTCCTCTTCCCCAGCTGTGTTTTCTCATTCTTACTGTTTCACTGCTCAGATGAATGCCCTCTGCTACGTCTTTCTCGACACTTCTTGTAGCACATCTTCTGATTTAAATTCCTTCTGGTTAAAGCAGTACCTTCCTAGCACAATCAGATAAGAGGCTCAGAGGTGTGAAGTTACCCTCACTGCACATCTGGTAGCTTACCATATAGTCAAACCAATTCCATTGTTAAGATCCCCAAGGTAATTGGATGTAATGTGTCGATTAAGCGTGATAAGATGATGTGAGTTGCCTCATGCCGGAATTGGCAACTAAGGGCCCACAGCTAAGAATAAAAGGCATTAAAGAACCCTCATTCTAAGTTGAGAGAACTGCCAGCTTTGGGGCCTGCCACACCCTTCAGGGCTTGTGAAAGGTGGCATTCCAGCAGCAGCTGCTTTAGGAAGTTTAGTCTTCCCCTCACCCTGACACCACACACACACACACACACATACTCTCTCTCTCTCTCTCTCTCACTCACTAGTGGAGGTAAATAGTAATAGTGAAAAGAGGTTTTCCCCCTCCCTTCTCTTGCCAAAGGTAGAGAATAAGGCAAGAGACTGTCCTATGCGGTGGGAGGGGCTCCTACACATGTTCTCCTTTACAAAGTTCAAGGCTAGAAATTGCCTTTCATCTGACTGTTGGACTGTTGCCAATTCATTTGTCCAGCTGAGTGCCCAATGCTGCTATGACATTGAGTGCCTGGCAGGAGCGAGATGCTGTGTTCTCACTCTCAGGCATGGCAGGTAAATGAGTTTCCCTAGGGTCAAGTGGACCCATGAAAGGTGGTGGCCGTGAGCAGTCTGCAGTTCCCCGTGGATGAGCAAGAGGTCTTCTTCTGGACATGTGGACCCAGAGGCAATGGCCACTGAGTGGACGCTGGCAGGGGAGCCAAAGAAAGCAGACGGGTCGGGCAGTGGCAGGTCTCCCATGCCAATGGGCTGTGCCAGTGAGATTCTCCCCAAAGAACCCGTAACACATCAGCAACAGAGTTCCCAGCGTTGAAGGAGTGTGGTGTGGCAAACAGAACCTGCCTCCCCATCCCACAGTTCTGCTGCCTGAAGCCCAGATGGGGGAGAAAGCAAGGAGGATTTTGAAAACAAATTTTAAAAGAGTGTGCTCTAAATTTTGAAACTGTGTGAAGTGTATGAAGTCAGTGTGCTCTCACTAAGGTCCCCACCATCCGGAAGACGGTCTTGCTGGGTAGTGCGTGAGTGAGAGAAATGGCTTTCCTGTTCACAGCTCTGTATGTGGNCGGGAGCGCCGCCACACTCCCAAGTGGCGCACTCTCCAGTGCGCCACCAGGCCGGCCCTGAAAACAAATTTTAAAAGAGTGTGCTCTAAATTCTGAAACTGTGTGAAGTGTATGAAGTCAGTATGCTCTCACTAAAGTCCCCACCATCCGGAAGACAGTCTTGCTGGGTAGTGCGTGAGTGAGAGAAATGGCTTTCCTGTTCACAGCTCTGTATGTGGAGATTTCTCTATAAAATGGTGATAAGAATTACTTCAGCCATATAATGACCAGACTAAATCAGCCACATCATGATTTGATAGCTTAAGCGAAAAGCTGCTATTTCTGCGGGGAAAATATAACTGAAACTGTAGATCCATCAATTTAGTGATGCTGAAGGTACTTTCTAACACATAAGAATTTAGGAATCAGTGATCTGCTAAATGTGAGCTATTGGTACACAGAGGATCATATTGGCACACAGAAAAGACTATTCTGAGTTTAGTTTTATAAAATTAATATACAGTACAAGCAAGTGACAAATTTTTAAACCTGGATCTTCCTAAATCCTTGAA